ATAAGTAATAATATTATTTTTATTAATTATAATTATGAATAACACATTTCCAGTCGTTTAAGAATTATTTACTACTATCACTTTAATCTTTTCCTGTATGTAATACTCATAAAATAAAGTGGAGAGGCTTAAACGTTTCAGCTTATAGTGACTGCGGATTTGACAATAGCTTTATTAGCCTAATCATTAGGCCCTAACGTTTACTGCAATGTTAATCACCAGTGAAGTTCCTTACGCAGATATGTCCCACTGTGTACTACTATTAATCCGTTCTAACACCACACGTCACCTGCTTCACCTGTATATATTCTGTAGTACCCAAGATTAGCGCTAGACGCGCGCGAATAGCGTCTTGGTTTTTCTAACATCAAAGCCGGTATGGGAAATGCCTACATATTTTACTGGTGAGTCTATAAACTATAGCATTTGGGTAGTAAAGTCTACAAAATACTCATAGGTCAATCTGCACGACGTTTGTATACCTCGTAAACACAGCTTGAAAACATACATATTTATACAATTATATATATTATTTTATTCAGTTATTGACAATACATTATAAAACAGGAAAACAGAATTTTCCCACTGGTGTTAAATTAAAAGCAACTATAAGATATTTCAGATTGTCATACTAAAGAAGGTACTCTTTACATATGTACATATGCGTGAAAATATAATAGTACATGCACCTCGTTGTTGGAGTTTAAATTAAGAACAAAGCAGATATTTAAAATCACTTTGATTGTAATGTAATTACGTCATATATGATGATGCGTATCTTAGTTATTAATTGCGTGTATTGAATGTATGTGTAATAAATCTACATAATTTAAGTTTAAATAATTCGCGCTTTTTCAACTTTCTCTTGCGTTAACTTCCACGCAAACGCAGTAGATATTGATCTACGTCCGTGAATATACTAGGTCGCATATAAAAGCTCTGTAAGTTACCACTAAACTTATATATATCCACTTATACTGAATGAGATGCTTTCTTTTATGAAGAAAAATTGAAAGATTACTTTACTTATATAGAGGTTAATAGCAGCGCTTTTAATTTTACTTATGTTTCTTTTTTATATAGTACAAATTCAATTTCATATATTCATAAAAATCTACTTTTATATTATTTTACATTTTAGTAAGTACTTTTACAATTACAAAGACTTCTTAGTATTAACATATTGTATACTTTGAGTAATTTAAATTTACCATTGTTATTCATGATAATTTATGGAAACTAATTTGTCCACAAAGTTATGTCAAGAGTATGAATGAGAACAGCAAAATGTTTCTGTATATTTTCATATTCTGGTAACATTGAAATAATTATTATGTAAGTACTGTATGTATCATCAAATGTATTTAATAAATTTTTACAAAAATAATCATTAAGTTTGAAAAATTTCTTTG